ACATGATATTTTACAAATAAATAAAATGTCAGTGATTTTTTAGTACTAATTCAAGAAGAATGAGTGAGAAAGAAATGGTACTGTAAGGAGGGGTTGTGACAAAAACAATAAAATTTCAGATTCATAACATATTACACTTCAGATTTCTAGTGATTATATATCTTTAGTGTTAACCAATTAAGACTTGTACCAATAACATTTCTATTGGAGAATAAAGAGGAGACGAAAAATAAAGTAAAATGATTTTAAACAAATATATATGTTTATGTCCTGGCGTTGTGAGAACTGAAATGTATGATCTTTTTAAAAATCTCATAATTGTTGTCTTCTTATCTGAAGTTTAGAACAAAATATAAAAGGCCTTTCTTTATCAAGCCTGTTGAAAATTCACATAAAATGAATTAGACAATGCTTTTGAACCCATTTGAACAATGGTAACATATATATGGCAAAATGGTCTCTCTCTTTCTCTCTCACACACATGCACACAAACAGAGAGAGAGAGAGACAGAGAGAGAGAGTGACAGCACTGAGACAAAGGGAGAGAGATGTGGTATCCTTATTATTAGTATCTTCATTATGTAAAGAAAAAAAAATTCTATATTTTTAACACAGTTTCTAAACCCTGGCATAAATGCTTACATAGAACCATCAGGGAATACAGATGTTGTAAGATAGGTATGAGCCATGATTTGGGGATACAATTTCTTTGAAAGAGAGAAGTTTAAGATGCTTGTACAGCACAGGAAGCAGAATATCTAAAAGAAACCATTATCTTGCCTAAGAAATATAGCTGTTAAAATAACTCAACATCTAGAGTTGTTTTTAAATCCTCTTCATAATATCAATCAAAATTTTTTCCCTTTATAAAAAACAAAAGCCTTAAGAAAGCATCATCAAATGCTTTCAGCACATGATATGTTAAATCAGTTAGTTAGGGTTATAAAAGTACTATGAATATGTATTTTTTGTCAATCAAGTAAAAGTCACAAAACTTTGGTATTGCAAAATATGCTCTTACTGATGTAACATATACTGACATGTGATATAAGAAATAGATTGCTTTCCTTTTTATGGACAATTTTCTTGATTCTCTTGCTTCTTTTTACTGTCATTGCAAAACTACTTCATCATTATCTTAATTTCACTGCTTGCTTACCAAAATTATGCTTTTACAAGCTTATGAAAGTTCAAAGTTAATTCAAGTTTAGTTTTCTAATATGTGGTAGTTAATTAGCTCACTGTCAACAATAAGGTATGTGTTCACTTTCAAATGAATGTTTGTATATCCCCACCACTGGCACCCCACTCAATTCCAAAAGAAATACTACAAATGCTGAATTGTTTGCTGTTTTTAATTTTTATATATAAAATGGGCAGTTACCTACAATATAGACTAACACTGATTTTCCATGTATATTTTATTAGCAATTTATAAAGACCTATAATTTACTGTAATAAATGTAATATTAATTTTCTTACAGATATGTGAGCTATATACTTTATAAGATTATCACCAACTTAATACAATTATAGATATTTCATATTTGAAACAAACCTCAGCAAATGAGTTTAGTCTCACCTCTAGATAGAGAAAACTTTTGATAAGTGTGTTAGATAGGTTATGCTGTGGTAATCCCCTACAAACATGCATATTCATACACACACACATACACACACACACACTTTAGAGGCTTAAAGCAACCGAATACCATTTTTATCTCTCTCATGACATGTCAGCTGCAGCTCTGTTCATCTGCCTTCATTTCAGGAATAATACTTTGAGTATATAATAAATTTAGAGCAGCCAACCATCCCAGTTTGCATAGGACCAAGTGCCTTCACTGGATATAGGGATTTCAATGCTAAAAAAATTAAGTCCCAGACAAACAAGTGAATTGTTCACCTTAAATACACTCTGCCAATGCAAGTGAACCTCTTTTATTTCAGGAGAGTCATATTTCTATTTCATGGATGAAGGTTGAAACTTATGAATGTTGAAGAAGTAGATCTGGAATGTCTGGAAATAGATCTTCTAGACAAGCACAGATATTCTAACAAATATTTGTTACTTAATCCAGGCATTAAATGGGAAATATATAATAGTATTAAAAATAAGGTAAAGTATTAATTCCAACTATTTGTATTAATTTTATAAAGTATTAATTCCAGCTATTAATTTGGAGAGGATTAAAACATCAAATAGCTAAATGATTATTTTCTTGTAAAACTTTGAATCCCCTTTAGTCCAAATAAAATTGATAGAGAAAAATTAGTATTACCATGGCATGGGGTCACTGTGGAACTTCAGGTAACTTAATGACAGAGAGGACTATTAATTCTATTGGAAATTAATGTCAATGTAAAAAAGAGGTCACTTTAGAGTAACTGAATTCACAAAGATGCTGATCTTGTTATACAAATGATTCTGAATTGTTAAATTGTCTGTCTATTTAAGTTTATGAGAATTAATAAAATAGTGTTTTAATGGGCAATAGGTATTATGTGAGTCATCATGTCCATGTGAATTCAGAATGACTAATTTCCTCCATTAATGGCGTTTTCAAAATTCATACTGAAAAAGAAAATAATCAATTTATTGAAAACCATCTTACTTGAACAAAGTAGCACTATGCAGAAAAATGTTTATGAATTCATGGTCAAATTGTTAAATAATTTTCCACAAAAATATCATATTATTAAAGTGTTATCACTTGTTTAACATCCCCTCCATATGACAACTATTCCTTAGGAGTATCATCTGGAAATATGGTTTTTCCAATAAACTAAAATTAATCCACCAAAATGCAAATCCACCTCTTCTAATAAACAAGAAGACCTACAGTATATTTTCATGTTTTATATTTTTACTTGGCTGCTAGAACACTCAGAACTATTCAGAGTTGAGGTTTTAGTTTACTTGCCTAAAAGACTCCACTCTTCAATCTTACTATTTTACTTTATTTCTGTTCTGTTCACCTGTTTTCATTTATTTTCTTGTTGTTTCTGTGGAGTGTGTGTGTTAGTATGAATTCTCACATGAACACACAAGTCATTGGCTGAGGTCAACTTTATAATAGACCTATATCATGATACTTCCTAACCTTTACATATGATCTAAGGAAATAAATTGCTAACACTCAGGTTGTTGCCAGACACAATTTTCTGTGTTGTAATAATCTATATATAGTAATAAAGGCTCCAATTTCCCATTCCAAATAAGTTCTTGTAAACCCAAACTTTGTTTAGAGACAGGAAACCTTCACAGTGTCCTTGTTCATGGTAAAAGGGTCTAAAGACGGATAAATTGTTCTGACTTTCCTTGAAAACTATCATGGGGAGATTTGGTTTTCTTATTCAGCTAAATACTGAGTCCTATTTTGTCTCCAAGTAACATTCAAACTAGCAGGATGAGCACCATAACAGGACTGTGAGCAAGGATCCATGTTATTCCTATGATTTTGCCTGGCATCTGTCATCATTAGCTGGCCCCTATTTTTCACTTGTCCACCTTATTACAGAAGATGTAAAATCTTATTTCTAAATGGACCCATCATTCTTGACTTTTCCATACAGAAATGAGGATTATACACATATATTTGGTGCAGCTGCTTCTGATATTCTTAGTTTAAAACACGCACACACACACATACAAATAAAACAAAAATATCTAAGAGACAGCTTAGTTTAAGCTGAGTTTTTTGTTTTTTGTTTTGTTTTGTTTTAAGTAAAGAGATGACTCTACTGGTTCTTAATACAAACCATATACTACTATGCTAAGTTTATTTTTGTACAGTCATGAATTCAAATTTATTAGGCCTTTATATTTCTTATCACAATGAAGATCACAAATCCACTGACAGTGAAGATTGGCTAAACCATTTGGAGAGTTTAAATTCTGTGTCTTAATATAAAAATTATGGGTTAAAACTTTCAGTGATCTCAAGTCTTAGAAATTTATCATACAGTGGTGTTCTCTTGGTAGCCACTCAATATAATGAAATTATAATTTTTTCAGGTTTTTTCTAGTCTTTAGTGTTGATTTCAGTTAGGTGTATGGTCTTGTACTAATTTATATAAAAATTCACATTTTAAGATTCATACTTTGTGTAGACATTAGGAATTCTATTGTGAATCCAAGTAGAAGACCATCATGACCTGAAACAATTAGAACAAAGCTTGCTTAATACAGTAATTGCATTAAAGGAAATGTTAGATGTTAGTGAGTCCTTGTGCCTCATGACTCATCTGTGCTTTCTTCTGCCAAATTCAGGGGGTGATTTGCTCATTGGAAACTAGGAGAATTAGAAATGACTTAAGATATGCCCTAAACAGAATATATGGCCCGTCTGTCTCCAGGGTTTAAATTTATCTTATTGACTTATGTCATCCTAAGACCTCAGTAAAGTAGCATGTATTAAAACTTAATGATGGCCTGAATGTGACTTAAAATTGTGTAAATTTAATTAATTTAATTGTGGATATAACCAGATATGAATTCTGTCTTTGAAGATACTAGAGATTGCTGCAGATAAATCATATTATTAGAAAATGCGCCCTGATTATATTAAAATATTTTCAAATAATATACCTTTAAAAAACCAACAAACTTAAACAGTACTTTGGCATTTCATTGTGTTAATCCAAGTGATCCACTGATGTTTTAGATGATACATCTCATAATTTATACCATAATTATTTTTCATTTGTGAAAAAAATTATAACCCAGCAGATGGAACATAAGGAAACATTGTAGGTTAAGGAGTGAGTCAAAGCCAAAAGAATATCACATAGGCAGTATGAACATGAACATGAGGCAAGATGCTACAGAAAGAGAAGAGAAAGGAATAAAAGGAATAAGAAGAGTGGTATATTATGTGTCTTCTATAGACTTTTTTTTAATTGGTGGTTTTAGAAATTAGCTGTGTGTTTGTATAAGCAAAAGTTTATATACCAAACATATTTCAGTTTTTAATCAATTTTATTACTTCCTTTTTTAGTATATATGCACTCCAGGGTACACAAGAAATTCATGTCAATTTGTGAAGAACGCTTGCTTAATTCATCTGTATGTCTGCTACTGTGGAGCCATCAGCCATGATATTTGTCAAGCTGAAGTTGCAAGTCCTCCTCAATTTAAATACGTGTGGCAATTGAAACTTACAGGTAATTCAATTAAAGTGTTTTGTTGTTGTTGTTTTGTTTGTTTTTTAATTTGCTTAAGTCAGTTCATAATTTACTAGGTAAGTATTCATTTTCCAATCACACAAAAGACTTTATATCTCAAAACACAAAATAAAGTAAAAATGAATTTAATACTCTTATTCTCTGATGTGTTCCTTTAAAAGACATACATATGCTTATCACCTACTACATCCCAGGAATTCTAATTGGTGCAAGATATATAACTGTGAAAAAAACTAGAATTATCCTCTACTCTCACAGATCTAACTATTTTTTGGAGGGATTTATTGGGCAAATACTCACAATGATAAATATATAATTGTAAGTTGAAGTAAAATGCAACAAAGAGTAGCGCCAGCTCGCCGCAACTGGTGAAAGACCGCGCGCAGCAAAGAAGACCTGATGCAGACAAAAATAAATAAATAATTAAAAAAAAAAAAAGTAACAGAGATAAATACAGTGAGGCCATGGTAGAGAAGTTGGAGAAGACAGAATTCTATATTGAGGGAATTTTATTTTAAAAATAACAATGTTTCAAAATGTACAAATGTTTACAGTTATACAAGTTTTGGAAATATGTATAATACAGGGCCCATGATTAGCAATAATACATTGCATATTTAAAATTGTTCTAAGAGGACAGATCTTATGTTGAATAGTCTCACCACAAAAGGAAAAAAAAACAAATAGCCAAAAAACAGAGCAGGTGGGAGGAAAGTTTTGAAGGTGATGGATAAATTGACAACATTGATTGTGTTTATGGATTCACGGGTGTATACTTTCTCTAAACACATCAGGTTGTACACATTAAATATCTCCAACTTTTTTATATGTCAATCAGACTCCAACAAAGCACATTAGAAAAAAAAACAAAAAAACAAACAAACAAAAAACACTAAGAAGTGATGGTCCTTTGAAGTCCTGGCTGAAACTCTGAGAACAAGAGTAAAGTTAAGATTTGGGAAAGAAAGTAATGTCCAAACTAAAATGTGGGGTTAAAATCCTTGTAGACTTTGACACATTAAAAAAAAATTAAAAAAAGATCAGGTGGAGAAATAGATTGGAGAGGGAAAAAAATGGTAGAGTTATTTGTAGTCATATTGTGAGGTGATGGAAAGTCCTGTTTATGGATTGTATACAAAGAGCAAGTGATAGAGGTGTCAAGAGGAAGCCTAGTTTTCTGGCTTTGACTCTTGAAATAGAATAATTCCAACACATTTTTGATTAAGTATATTACTAATTGTTTTATACAATGGCAGTTCCTGTTCAAAATCTATTTTGATGAGCATAATTTTCTGTTTGATTAATCTTTTAATGCTATTTGACTTAGCTCAAGCAAATTGATCCAAATTCTTGAAATTGAACAGTACTTCAATTAATTATTTTAAAGAAGATTTCCTCTGTCAATGATATTTTGGCATTATAGTTTATCAACAATCAACAAATTAGTAGATTTGACATATCTGTTCTCAACCAATGGCTAATTTTATTCAATTGACAACAGCTGCACTTATAAGAGTACTATTACATTAAAACAATCTTGAAGTAAACTAACAAATTAGCCTTTTAAACAGAAGACATGGTAATTTATTTCAACATGATCATAAGATGGTGTGTTGAAGAGTTGACAACCCCTAATGACAGAAATGCTGATTCATTATGCAAATCACATTCAAAACCAGAAGTGAAAGAAAAGAGCAGTAACTTGTTGATTATGTCATGTTAGTGCAGAAAGGAACGTCAGAGGCTCTGGTATGAATACCTACTATTTCACAAATTACACAATCAAACCAAACAAACAAGAACAACAACTGAGGCTAGAGAAGTTACCTGAAATATCTGGTCTCAGGACAATTTAGAGATTGTGTTAGCTCAGTCGTTTTGAAACCTTGGCCACATAGTGTAAGCACCCAAGACACTTTTAAAACATACTACTGCTAGACTTCCACAACCAAACAACCAAACAACCAAACTGGAATTTTGTAGTGAGGTGGACACAGATCTTGAAGGTTCCATTAAAATGCGTTTAATGTGCAGAGTGAGAAACATAGTCTTCTATTACCAGCCAAATCAGTTCATGGACTCCAGTGCCTGCATCATTTTTATATTTTGATTTCCCTTTGTCTCAAAGTAGGAATAATGGAATATATACATTCACTTAATTTTAAACATTAAACTTATTTGAAAACTAAAAATGGGTAAAGGGAACATATTCACAACAATAAAATACCAAATAGTATTTTTAGGAAAAATAGGGGGAGTAATAGGAAATCAAATTGCTAGTGGATAAATCATCTCTGAGCAAATGTAGTTATTTTATGAATGACAGTTGTATAACATATATTTTCTAGGACACAAGGGGTAATATGAAGTCAAAATTGCTCATGGATAAATCAGCCCTGAGCAATTATCATCAAAGTAACGAAAGCGTACTTAGTCATTATCCCTTCATGAATCTAGGTTCAGAAATTAATGAATATATCTAATTATCACAAAAATAAGAATTATGTGACCTCCACATGTGAGAATTTAAGTGACCTGGACTGTCCCAAGTGAAAGAAGCCAGTGCAATAAAGCTCATTAGTCAAAAAAAAAAAAAATTTAAGCAGAGCTGTCTAAATTCTTTTTTAATGTCAGTACAGGATTCAGCAGTGCAACTTTTCTCAGTAAAGTTTAAAAAACAAAAAAAAGAATCTAAGATAGATTTAAGTATGTAAATAGAATTACATATTTTATGTAATTCTTATTTTTTCTTGTTGCTGTTAAGATCTTTCTTTTTTTTTCTCATAAAATATAATTAAAGAGGAACATTAAAATCAAGTTGGTAAATTTTCATAGGGTGCATTAATTTTACCAGCAGTAAAATTATTTTAATTAAGAGATTTTTCTACCAACTAAATGAAGTGTCTTACACACCCAATCAATTCTTGCCAATATGATTGCTCTACAAGAAAGGGAAGGTAATTAATTAGAGGAAGCCCCTTCAAGGACAATTGGTCTATAGTGCACAACTTGAGAAAGAGCTGACATGCACTGTTTCTTTTCAATGTCATCATCTATGTTCATTATATGTATTATTAGGTTTGAGAAAAGGACATACTGACAGAGTGGATAATGAGTTGTGAAATTAAATAAGATAATATGAATCATGGTTAAGAAAAGATGAAATCACAGCAAAATTGATGTTTGCTTTGAATGTCTTTATTTTTTTAAAGCTTATGATCATTTCTGTTTAGTTAACTACATTAAACATATACATTTAATATGTATCAGTGAACTTTTTTTGTAAATGAATAGTGATTCATGTACTTGTGAACTGTTATTGCAAACCAATATTTACTTTTAATTCTCTTTTTATCCTTCAAGAAGTAGTGGATTATATTTTTGACAGAAAATGTTTCAATATATTAATTACAATCAATTCATTATTAGTTATTGTTGTAATTTTATAATGATTAATGTGAGAATAGAAAATCCTGTATCTCTAAGGAAATCTTTATCAAAAGTATTTTTCTTACCATACAGCTCCACTTTCAAGTCTGCTTTTGTTAAATACCTACTATTGTTCCTATATCCATTGAGGATGTTAGGACCTTATTTCAAGATTTAAATAGAAAATCTAAGCTTTAAAAACCAAATGTGATTTAATGATTTTTACTTATATTACATATAATAATGTTCTCAAAACAGTTTTCAGTAACAGAATTGTGTTAATTGATTAATATGCTAAAAAGAAATAATGACTTTCAAATACAGATAAGAGCTAACTAAATGATACAATGAAAGAAAAGATGTTATATAAACAGAAGTTAAAATTCCTCGGACTAAAATTAGCAAAAGCATTAAAGTTCTAAGTTGAGAAAACTTTAAGTACTGCCACAGTATATTTACAAACACATATCTGGAAAGAAATTTCTAAAAATATACCATGTTGCTGGAGAGGACACTTAACATATTAAAGATTTCATATGACCATATTATTTTATATATTTATTAAGATTTCAGTGAAATAAGAACAATGCTTTTATATTCATTTTAAGTTACACATAGAAAACTAAATAGACAAATAAAGCCAGGTGTACTCTAAAAAAAGCACATGGTGCAGGTTGGTGGTGTAGAGACTTAGCTCTGCCAGATATTAAAGCATATTATAGAGCTTCAATAATGAAAAGCATGGTATTATTGCATTGATAGTCAAAATATATGCAAAATTCAAAGTCCCAAAATAAATCCAAATATGCAGAGAATTTAGCATATAATAGAATTTGCCATGTCAATCTTTAGGATAAATAGGGACTATTCAATATTTGATGCTGAACAACAGAATCATCATCTGGAAAAAAAGACTGGTTTGTATCTTAGTACATGCTCTGGGTTAAATTCATATCAATAAATATTTTATATATAAAAATTGAGATGACAAAAACATCACAAAAATGTTGATGTATTATTTTATAAACCTGGATGAGAGAGGTCTTTATAGTTACCAACAAAAGGTAGAAGCCACAAGAAAAGACTGGTAATTTAACTGCATGAAAAGCAAAAATATCTATCTGTGAAGACTTTGTAGAAGCAAATGACAAAAGAAAATTGTACATGAGGCATAGAAAGTATTGCTAAATATTTGAGAAAATGCTTAGCTTTACTTATAATAGCAAAGCACATTTTTAAAAGCACCATAAATATATAATTTTCCTCCTATAAGACTGGCAAAACTTTAAGAGTTTGACAACTTTCTGATTTTATTTATTGATGGTGAAATGGAAAATCACTATAATATCTGAGAAGAACAATTTTGCAATATTTATCAATACTATAAATGTATATACTTCTTGACCTAGCTTTCCCACCACATGTGTCTCATCCACATGATGAGTAATATAGGTGCAAGATTATACATGACATCATTGGCTCTTTGAGCAAAAGAGTAAACACAGATGTAGAAATGACTGTGGAATACTCCCAGTACTGATTTGACAATCAATGAGATATATGATAAAGGGAAAAGAAAGGAAGGCATGCAATAATGTAGAATTGTATATGTAATAGGCTACCTTTTGATTCTTTATATTTTACTTGGGATCATCTCTCTGAAAGTCTTTTTTTTTATGTTCTTTGTCTCAGTGTACTGAAATTTCACTATATTGAAACTTTTGAGGATTATATTCTTCTTAAAAAATGAAATATCATTGAAATATTATATTAGTTTCAGGTGTACAACATAATGGTTCTATATTTGTATATATTGTGAAATGATCACCACAGAAAGTTTAGTTAACATTCATCACGACACAGTTACATTTTTTTCTTGTGATGAGATATTTTAAGATTTACTCTTAACAATTTTCAAAGGTACAGTACAGTACCATAAATTATAGTAACCATGTACATTACATCCCCAGGACTTACTTATTTTACAGCCGGAAATTTGTACCTTCTGACCACTATGCCCCATTTCACCCATCCCCCACCCCCCATTTCTGGCAATCACAAATCTGGTTTCTTTTTTTTTTTTAGATGTTTTTTTTTTCTTTTAGATTCCACATATAAGTAAGATTATACTGTATTTGTCTTTCTCTGTCTGACTTATTTTACTTAGCATAATGCCCTTGAGGTCCATTCATGTTGTTGCAAATGGCAAGATTCCACATTTTTATGGATGAACAATATTTATATATATATATTTATATATATATATATATACACACACACACATAATCCCATTTTATTTTTATATATGCATTTATTTATATATGTTTATATATATATAAATAAATGTGTATATATGTCACACCTTTATCCATTCATCCACTGATGGACACGTAGGTAGCTTCCATGTCTTGGCTGTTGTAAATAATGATGCAGTGAACATGGGGTGCAGATATCTTTCTGAGTTAGTGTTTTTGTTTCCTTTGAATAAAAACCCAGAAGTAGAATTGCTAGATTATATGGTAATTCTATTTTTTATTTTCTTTGAGGTAACTCCATACTGTTTTTCATAGTGGCTGCACCAATTTACATTCCAATGGTTGTATTCTTTTTCATACCTTGTCCATATCTCTTGATAAACCCTTTTATTTGGAAGCACATCTTTCAATTTTTAGGTAGTGTCTATATTATGTCACTAAGAATTTTTTTCTGTTTTATTTTTCTGTACCCCTAAGTCCAAAATTTTGATATTGCATATCCTAAGTTGATTCTTTCATTTTCTCATAATCTCTTATTTATTTTCCATTATTTTATTTTTTTTAAATTTTCTACTGTATTCCCCATTTAATATCTCAAAACTAGTGTTGAATTTTTGTTTTATTATATTTGTAATTGTCTAGAGAATTTTCAGTTGTCTAAATTGTACATTTTCATGATATTCTGTTGTTTTATATAAATAAAATAACTTTTCTTATGTCTATAAGACTATTATAGCTTTGATTTGTTTTAATTTTCTTCTGTTCCATTCAGTATCTCAATTTTCTGTAAGTTGAACGATGTTTTGTTCTTTCTCACTTGGAGTCTTTCTGCCAACTTCAGGTGACTCTATTTAGAGGCGAAGACATAAAAAGATTCCCTTTCTCCAAAGAATAAACCTTGAAAATTATTTATTTGTGGGCCTGTGGGAGGTGAGTGAAGAGTCAGTATAATATCCGAATTTGTGATTTGGGAGAGAAGCTCTGTTACTAATCTCCCTGTTTCCAGAACCCATCTCAGTACCACATTCTTGGAAATCTTTAAGTTCTGAGCATCTCAAGATTGTCTAGGTAAATGACTTTGTTTTTCATAAACATGCCTTCTAATTAGACTTTTGTTTTTTCTGTTCCCATTCTGCTAATTTAGTCCCCACGCCTCCACCATCTTTTCAGCTTCTCAAAATTTGTTTTCTCCCCTCTAGTTATCTTACTGCATTAAAGTTTTGTTTTATTTTATTAATTAATTTATTTATTTTGTTACCTCCTTTTAGAAGTCTGGGGAGGAGGAGGCAAAAATATCTCAGTTAAATCCAAATGTTTAATCAGATATATCATTATGGAAAGCTTTGTAAACTGGACAATTTACATAAAATAGATGCATTCTTAGAAAAAATACTAGTTGGTAAACTGATTCAATAATAAGTATAAAATCTGAATAATCCTACAAGCTCTAAAGTAATTGAATAAAATTGTTAAAAAAAATCTTTTCATAATGAAGAATACACAAAAAATAGGGTCTTATATCCAAGTTCTCCCAAATATTGAGTAAACAGTTAAATGTAATACTATTTTCTTCAGAAAATAAAGGAATTCATTGTACCAGGCTGACATAACCATATTATAGTTATTTTCTCTCAGCACAATGAAGATATGATTTTTATTGACATCATTAATTTACTTCTCTTTCTTGTGCCTGATCTGATAATCCTATTCATTGATTATTTTATTACTAATATAGTGATAATATTTTATAATCTTAAGAATACAAGCAGTCAAGTTACACTGGTAAGGCTGAAAATAGTTTGAAACATTCTGCATGGCTTCCTAGTTTCTTCCTTTTTTTCCCCAGAGTGATAGGTGAGATTTCTAAATGAGCTCTGCACACAGCAGGGAGATTTCAGCTTGTGAAGCCTCTCTATTTATAATTCAGCTTTACTTTGCATAATTTATATGATATTTTGCAAGAAGTCATGTCTCACGAATCGTAGGTTTGTAAATTACAAACAATTCTAAAATAGGGCTATCAGCTAGAGGGTTTTGTGGATAAATACTATCTCCCTAAGAAATATTTTAGTCTCCTTTGTAGGAGGTTTAGTTATATGCACAGGGAGATTGTATCAGGTCCCCCATGTTCTTTCATTACCTGGAAATGTTACATCTACTAATGAAAGATAAGAAGTGCTCAGCTCAACTAAATTAACTCCTTTCTCCCCACAATTCTAGTATTTGCATTTGGGTTTTTGCTTTTTGTCAGTTTCCAGATCTCTCATTCCATAATTCCAAATCTGTTTACCAGTTACATTCATCTTTCCCT